GGGTGGATAAAAATGGGACAGATATTACTGGTTTTCGTTATAAGCCTTTACTACTGTTTGATTTTTTAAGACTGTAGGCATTTATTAGATTAATAAAATATTAGAAAAAAAGGTCATGAACTTTTTCTTAAGATCTCAAAATATTGTTTTCATTATGCACATTTTCCCATCACATTGGTTGTTTTTTAATCAGAAAGAATTTTCCATTTTGTCACATTAACTTTTTTATCATGAGTTGCCATTACTTTATCACTGTTTCTACAAACCTCTTCCTGTTTTTAACCTCATTGTTAAGATTAATTAAATGCAGGTTACCTTCTAAATAGGTCTACCTTGAAGAGATCAGATATGCTCAGAGAAAATAATTATTTAACAGGTTCTAATAATTCTTCAAGGTCCATAGAACTTCATGTGTGACACTCAAGTATTTTTTTCTGCCTATGCTAACAAGTAAAATTATTGTTCATAAAATTAAAGCTGTTTAGTCACAGACTTCATACACATCAAGTACAAAGGAAGGTATTCCAGAGAATGGGGTGCTGGATGATGTCCCATGTGTGTGACCTCTTCAAAGTTCTTGTTTGGCAATTTAGAAGTTACATGGAGATCAATGACCATCTAACGACTTGACCACTGTTTCTTGGGTTATGTCTTCTAAACATAGCAGCCCTCTAGCTCAACCACAAAGGCATCTCATGAGCTATAGAGGAACTTGAGCATATTTGTGCTTGTGAAGAAACCTAAAAAAAAAAAAATTACAGTTTTATAGCTCTACTTTGTTTTCCTCAAATGATATTTTAGTGATAATCTGAAGGACTTGCTACCGATGGCTGAAAAACCTCAATGTGGCTTGGTCATCACTAGAATAGGGAAGTAGAAGGAAAGTTACCCAATTAAAGAAGAAAACCTCACAACCCCTCACTTTTCCCGTTGGTCCCCACAAAATTAGAGGAAGTTTGGTGGAAGGATGAGCCAACCTGATGCTTGGAGAAGATAGCTGGCCTCCTCCCTGGACGATCGCACAATCTATGTGCTGCCACTGCTATGACTTTGTTTCAAGGGCAGATTGGTGGAGGTACGACCCAGGTGAGCAGAGAGATAAGACTGAAAGACGCTTCCTGGGAAAATGAGTTACAAGTTGAAGAATGCTTCTTCAATGTTGTTACATGGCTTGGTTTTCACCCTGGCCAGGCTCTAGTGTGAGCAGGTAGGGTGGAGTCCTCTCATTCTTACTCTACTTTTGTGATGTAACTTTCTGAGTTCACTGTTGTTTGTTCCTCATAATTTTTTAGTGCCTTGTGATAATCTTAGATAAAGTCAGAAATGGATTAATTCCTCTTATTATCATAGCATAAAATTATACCTGAATTTTTATTAACTAAGAAAAATTTAGAGTTAGAAGTATACACATTTTGAAAATTATACAGGGTGAGGCGAAAATAGGTTTACAGTTGTCCATATGGAAAACAATGCAATTAATACTAGTAAATAGTAATGCAATAAACTGTGCTTCACATACTCACAACTATAAACCTACTTTTGTCCCATCTGTATGTAGTAAGACAACATAACATCATGTTTTCATTACTTATATTTCCTATCCTTGAACCCCTTATCTTTTTCCTATCAGAAAACATTTTAAATTATATACTTATATAATCATAAAAATTTAGGTGGCCATATTAACACAAATCTGCTTTCCCCTTTTTACATAACACCTTCTTCTTTAGTGTGCAGTTTTTGGTTCTTGCTTACATTCTGTAGTTTGATGTTTTATCCTCTGGATTCACTTTAATATTTTCTGTTCTGTTGCTAAAATACTTTTCTTAGTACACACACCTGAACTTTTATTGCACATCTTTTTATTATTTTTATTTTATTTTTTAAATCCTCACCTTAGGATATTTTTCTATTGTTTTTCAGAGAGAGTTGAAGAGAGAGGGAAAGAAAGAGAGAAATACAGATATGAGAGAAACACATCAATTGTTTGCCTCCTGCACGTGCCCCAACCAGGGCCCAGGCTGGGCAGGAGACTGCAACTGAGGTACATGCCCTTGACCAGAATCGAACTTGAGACCCTTCAGTCTGCAGGTTCATGCTTGATAGAGCCAAACCAGCTAGGGCTATTACACATCTTTTTAAATTCCATGTCACTTATTATCTATATCCTCCCAACATTTTCTTCTTAGCTTTGGATAATTCATACGTCCCTTCCTTATACGTGGAAATCTAAATTTAGCCTTATGTAATTGCTTCAAATGATGAGAAGCTATTTATTTATTTTTTTATTTGTATTTTTAAAGTATCCTAAAAGAGGAATTAAGGTGGTTTATAATAACACATACAATATATTGGGATGATTCAATTAAAGTAAGAAAAGTTAGCAAAGGGAAACTAATATCGGGAAATGAAGACAAAATCAAGAGTGAGGTCAGTACTCAAATGCTTTCCAAATAAAGCCACAGTTTGGTTTGGGGCCCTACCTCTGATTTTTGTTTGCCAGCTTCAAGTCCCCTCCCTGCAGCCTGAATACTACAACTCCCTTATATTAGTCAGAGCTCTCCAGAGAAGCTGAGCAAATGGGTTCTCTGTCTGTCTGTCTGTTTCTTTACATTAAGAAATTAGCTCACACAGTTAAGAGGCTGGAAAGTCCAAAATCAGCAGTTCAAGTCCTAAGGTTGAGACCGGCTGGAGACGTAGGGAAGAGCCCACATGGCAGTAGAAGTTCGAATGAAGGCCACCTACTGCAGAATTTCCTCTGGTTCAGGGGAGATGGGCCTTTTGTTCTATCCAGGCCGTTAGCCGATTGGAGAAGGCAATATGTTAATATCATTGAAAACCAGCCTCATAGAAACATTCAGAATAATTATTAACTCCATGTCTAGGCACCAGACACAGCCAACTTCACACATACAATTAACCATCACACCACTGAAGCCTGCTCTTTGCCTTAACCCTCCACTTGCTTACCCTCCCTCCCCGCCCCCAACACACCCCTTTACCATTTTTCCCTAATCCACAAAGCTTCTCTTAATCTTTTTTTTCTCTAAAGTGGCCATGAGGCCACAAGTTCATATTTCAAGATTGGGGGGAAGTCTCACCCTTTTGGAGGCCAATGACTGCTAATGAATAGGCACATGGGTTGCCTTGGGTTTCTTTCTAACCTCTCCTCCTCCAACAACCCTGCTCAGGGAGATGGGCCTACCCCACCCTCCAGCCCTTTATTTACATTGTTACAGGTCTACCATGAACCACCCCTTCTTCTAAAGGGGTTCACAGTAGCTTTGCTGGCCTAGCTCACATTTTCTGGGTGCTCAAGAAGCCAGCACACAGGGCTGTGGCTTTAACCATTTACTTTAATCCCTAATGAGGCTGAAGCAATAGGACACGCCCGAGAAAAGTTTCCCAGGCCCTAGAGGTCCAGTGTGTCTCTGCTACTAGAGGGGATCTTGTTCCATTTCTCCACCTCTTAGCTCCTCTGAAGAACAGAGTCAGACCACAGTCAGGGGCTGGGGGAATTCGTTGCTCTTCCTGGCAGGGTTCTGAAGTTTGTGAGGAGCAACTCGCTAACTTACTTCCAACAGGGAAAACAAAAACAAAACAAAAAGAAGGCAAATAAGTGACAACACAAGAAATGTTATAGACAGAGACTCAAATATGAGCCCATATTGCAATCCCTTTTCCTTATTTCACCAGGCACTGGAGAACCCTAAAATGCATAACATCCAGCTCTGAAACCACTTGGAATGTTCCTACATGATCTGAGCCCACATCTCAGACCAGTCGCACCTGTGTGATCCAGGAAAAGACACATACACTCTACTCTTAAGTTACCTCGTTGTAAAATTGGGGCGAAGAATAGACACGACTAGTCAGGAAGAAGAATTTAGTCATTTGCACTGTGCTTGCTCCCCTCCCTGCGGAGAATATAAATGTGAATGTGTGTTTCTGTTATGTAGATCGGTGCATCAGTAAATTGCTTTTCACTTTCTCTGATCAACATCAGCAACAATAATATTTTTTAAGCTAAGAAAATTTGAGTATTCCGATGGAGGAATTTCACTAGAAAAGTGGAAAACAATTGAGTTACAGGTATTAAGCCATATGTTAAAATATTATATGTTTTATTGGGGAAGGAAATAACATGTTACTCTCTGTGCATTTTAATTCTTTTATTTACCATTGATTTCCTACCTATTGTTTAACGGTTTAAACCTCTTCTTTTTTTCCTGTGTAGTCAAGTGCACATCATCGACCCCCTTAGCGTAGCTGAGAACATCATACTTGCGACAGCATTTTAAAGGATCCCACATCAAACGTGGGCAAAAGACTGTTTCCTGGCCCTGCTCGTCTCCTCACCTTGAGAGTCTGCCCCAGTCGCTCCCAACCTTAACCATCTCACCCCACTTTGAACTCGGGTGTATTTAGTATCTGTAACTCTCATCTGATTCTCATATACCACCCAATAACATTACTTATCTCTTTGTAAATTTAGATTACCACTTAAATGCTCCATTTTCCCTCATACCAGCGAATATTAATCGCTAATGCTGGTCAGAATTTTACTATGTACCAGGCACTGTTCTAAAATTATATGAGTTAACTTATTCAACATTTGAATGAACCCCATAAGAGAGGTACTATTACGTCCACTGCACATGTGAGGAAAACTGAGTGGTAGATGGAGGAAACATTTGCTCAACACCACAGAACCAAGTGACTAGGCTCCAAGGCTGCACCCTGAACTACTGAGTTTGAAAGCTTGGTAGGAATCAACACTGCCCCACGGCTCAGGAACCTCCAGCACCTAACCATGATTTGCATTCCATAAGGGACCTGGAAATGTCTTGTGCTTATTGCTCTGTGAAAACAAATCCTAATGATATGGGGGGGAAATTAAAAAAAAAAAGGCTGGGAAACTTTGATTCTACTAAAGCTATTTTTTAATTTTTTTTCCCCCTTATCTTTTCTTTCTTTTTCTTTTTCTTTTTTTTTTTTCAGATCCTGCCTCAGGTTTATTTGTACAAATAGCACGGAAGGAAACCAGCCCCATGCAGGCAGCATCCCAGGAATCACACCAGTCCTTCCATCTTCACTCACATGGCAGAGAGGCCTCTATGTAGAGCCTGCATGGGGGCCTGGGCACCTTTGGGAGCCTGAGCCTAAGCCTGAGCCAGAGCTGCAGCTGCAACCCAGGACTTGGTTTGAGCCTTGGCCTTGGCCTTTGGCTGGCAGAGCCTGAGACCCTCGGCAATGCTGACCCCACGCTTGGGGTCAGTGATGTAAGCAAGTTGACTGAGCTTGTGGCTGCCACCCTTTGAGATCTTGGTCTTGACCTCCTTGGGCTTCCCGAGGGCCTTGATAGCCTCAGCACATGCACTCATGGCCTTGGCGTTGCTGCCCTGCATCTTCTTCTGGCCTTTCTTGTGCTTCTTGGCAAAGCACATGCTCCTCAGGACCGTGGGATCTACCCCTTAAGTAATTCATATCGCCTGGCCAGCGTGGCTCAGTGGTTGAGCATTGACTCATGAACTATGAGGTCATGGTTGGATTCCCAGTCAGGGCACACGCTCAGGTTCTGCTAGATCCCCAGTAGGGGGTGTGCAGAGGCAACCAATGGATGTTTCTCTCTCATCATTGATGTTTCTATCTCTCTCTCTCTCTTCCTCTCTGAAATCAATAAAAAATATATTAAAAAAATAATTCCTGCCCTAACTGGTTTGGCTCAGTGGATAGAGCATCAGCCTGCGGACTCAAGGGGCCCAGGTTTGATTCTGGTCACGGGCATGTACCTTGGTTGCAGGCACATCCCCAGTAGGGAGTGTGCAGGAGGCAGCTGGTCGATGTTTCTCTCTCATCGATGTTTCTAACTCTCTATCCCTGTCCCTTCCTCTCTGTAAAAAAATCAATAAAATATATTAAAAAGTTAATTCTTCTTTTAAAAAAAAGAGGTTCATATCTTTGTGATTGAGGCTTCTTGATGCCGTTTCTGTGCCATTTTCGGGATTGGTTGTGCATGGTGTGGTTCTTGGACTCTGCCATATCTGCACCAAAGACTGTGACTCCCAGAGCCTCTTTTATTTCTATGCTAGAGGCCCACTGCATGAAATCCATGCAAGAATAGGTTTTCCTTCCCCCAGCTGTCGGCACTAGCTTCCCTCTGGGACCTGAGCTTCCCTCAGAGCCTGGGCTTTGTCTGGAAGGTCGTCTGGAAGGACATCGGGAAGGATGTCTGGTCTAATTAGCATATTACATTTTTATTATTATAGATTAAATTTAAAATTTTAGGTTGAGCTGACTTGTAATGAATTCAGAATCAAGGAGTGTTAATGTAAAAGGCTTTTCTGGCACTGATTTTTTTCTAAGTTATCATCCTGTGGTTTGCTGACTTAACTGTAGAAACATGGATAAAAACTCCCTATTATGCAACAAACCACTTCCGTTGTCTGTTTATTTATTTATCTGCAGTGTTTTAGCTAAACCTTTCTTCACTTGCAGTGTCATATAACTGCAACTGTTGGACTTCATGGAGCATAAATATCACAGATATGGAAAATCATGGACTTGACCAGATTTAGAGGTTAGAATCCTGTATTAGAACACCTCAGTAGGATGGTAGAAAGGATTACCTATATTAATATATGTAAAGCACTTTAAAAAGTTCCAAGCAAATATTAAGTGCTTTTAAAGTGTTTATTTTTATTACTGTTATTATTCTTAAACCCCCACAATGCTGGCAAGTATACTTAGTCCAGCCTTCTGCATTCAAAGGCTTCAACTCAGTTCGACCTGAAGAATAAGAAAATGAAACCTCTATTCTAATAAGAACATAAGAACTTAGATTTGGAAAGAAACCCAAATGTATCCTGCTCAATATATTGTCAACAGAGGCTGCAGTTGTTTGAAGATCTGACTGGGGCTGAAG